CTATTCAATTATCTTCAATGAAACTGCTAATTACCTACCAAGGTGAGATGAAGGAGATACTTCTTCTATGTAATATTATATCTTCATTTATTTTGGTCGCTTTTTATTCAGACCAATTAAGATATTCATTTTCACAGGTATTTTTATTCTGAAAATCATTATAATTCGAGATTGTAGGGAATATTGGCATTGGATCGTATATAGTACGTTGTTTTTTTTTTACCAGTATATCACCTGACGAAGCTACTGTGAAGCGAATCATGTCTTGTGTTTGAGAATTTTGTGGAAATCTTATCGTTTGTGAAGTTGTTACATTTGTATATGATACGATCTGTAAATCTGTTAACTATGTCGAATCTCGAAACATGAATACAGTAGATATCAGTTAATTTCAGATCAAAGTTTCTATTATTCTGTTAATGGGGTCTGAAATATTACTTGCTTTGTGTTAATATACAGGGTGTCCCATAAGTCGAGGATCAAGAGAAGTGGGAGACATTTCAAATGAAACTAACCATATATGTGGTTATACAATTTTCGATGGTTCGAAAGTTATCAATGTTTTTTCATTACTATAAAAAGAATTATTCACAACAAAACTATGTCACATTTGTGTTCTGGGGTAGCCATTCTCTCACCTGTGATACGGAAGGAGGTGACACATTATCTTGTTGAAAATAAATATTATCTGCCAATAGATTTCGATTACCATCATCATCATCCGTAGAGGACCAATAGAATGGACAACACGTCTGCCGGACTTGGCACTCAATGATTTCTTTCTACGAAGTAATTTGAAATCCCTCACCCCACTGATCTGCACGATTTGGAAAAAAAATTAGGATTGAATGCCAGATGAATATCTTCAAATGTTCAAGAGAAAAAATATGAACCTTGTTAGTTGCCTAACCTATCTATACCGATTGATATCTACCGATATTATTACCTATATTATTTGCTCACCGAGTACACGTGTTCGGTTTTTCTTGCCGACCTGATTGAGATAAATGAAAAACTTTGTTTTAGTGACGAGTGTCATTTTATTCGAACGGTTTAGTCAACAGACACAATTGTCGGTATTGGAGTCAGAATAACCTCCATCTACTGAGAGAAGAGCACACAAAATGGCCCCAAAAAATGAATGTGTGGCCCAATATTCATCCATCAGGGTTATTTGAATGGTATGGTCTATTTGGATATGCTGCAAAATCTAATCGCCCCACTTATTAAGGATTCTCGATGATGATAGTAATCCACATTTATTGGCAGACATTTTTTTTTCAACCTCATTTCGTATCACAGTTGAGAGAATGGCTATCCCAAAATTTTCCAGATAAATGGATAGGTCGTAGAAGATCAATAGAATGGCCAGCACGCTCGCCGGACTTGGCACCCAATGATTTTTTCCTATGAGATCATTCAAATCCGGGAATTTATAAAATGGAACCTAATGACCTCAATGATTTGGAGGGAAGAAAAAGAACTGAATGCCAGGCAATATCAAGAGGAACATTCTCAAACGTACAAGAGGAATAGACTCTACCACTGTCTGGCAGTCAATGGGGGGCATTTTGAACATCTTTTGTAAATACCTGTTCAATAATCTATTATTTACATTCATGTACTCACAAATAAAAAACATACCATTCGAACTCGAATATCTCGAGAACGCGACTTGTTGGAATTCAAGAAACGTTCCACTGCTAGTTTCAGAATTAAATTACCTTCGCAATCAGGTATAACACGACCCTTATTCCCTATTCAAATAACTGTTCCGTCATGTTTTTGTAAAATAATAATTCTGGGAGATATCGAGGGTGGATAATCTTGAATGGACCTCCCGGTATATGTATATTGTCGATCTGTATTTTCACAGACGAATATTGAACAATAGACGAAGAACGACTTCAGGATAGAAACATCAATATGCAAATCAAAATATTGAACTTTCTCTTTCGATCTTTTAGTAAGTACATGATAATGAACAAACAGGAAACACTTATGTTGGATTTATATTTTATAAAACAAGATTACGATGAAAAATTCCATTTCGACATAATGTTTCATTAATTCTTATTTCATGTTTTTTGTTCACACTACTTAAATTCTAGTAAGTATTCAAGTATTTACGAGTTATTTGGTAGGTACCTATAACAATTTTCCTAGATATAGAATTGACAAAAACACAAACAGGATGAATAAGCAGTATGAAACGACCTCGTGCAAATTGTATACCAATTCAAAAAAATCGTGGATTTCTTATCATATTCTTCCATTCTAAAAATTTTGTAAACCTTGATAAAACCCCTCCTGTAGCTATAAAGTGAAATCAACAAATGAGTTCCTGATGTATAGGTTCCTCTCTAATTTTATATTTGAATGCAAAAAATGTACACTGATTAATCATTGTTTTCATAACTTCACCGCACATTATAGGCACATATTGATAGTAGGTGTACGTGATAGATTTTTGTTTTCAGAATAGAACGCGAAATGCTACTTTGGTGATCGAGATCTAATTTAAAACAATAGTCGAGATGACCAAAGTATTTCGCGCTCGAGTTGCAAACAAAATTTTTTCTACAAACGTCAAAAAATATAGTTCTAAAGTAAAAATATGCTTAGCTGGATATAAAAAATAGTGTTGAACTGGCACAAAAGGTCTCCCCCTATCCTCCCTAGCAACACACGATGTTCCACTAACATGATAGGAATTTCCTTTCGTGCGCTCCAAGAGAAAAAACGAAGTTATTGTTGAACATTCAGAAATAAATAATTTTTTCTACAAACGTCAAAAAATGACAAGGTTCGCGCATTGATAACAAATTGCGAAGTGACACTTTTCTTCAGTTTCCTACGTTACCATGATACCTTGCCCAAAACAATGCGCGAAGTAAAACAGTGCGCGAAGTACCTACTTCGCGCATTGTTATGTAAAATATATGAGATATTTATATTTCAACTTTATGGTCCTCAATCGAGCAAACATCCACGAAATCATTCATTTCTGAATGTTCAACAATAACTCTGTTTTATCTCTTGGAGCGCACGAAAGGAAATTCCAATTATGTTCGTGGAACACCTTGCGTACCTAGGGAGAACAGGGGGAGGCCTTTCAAGCTAGTTCAACACAATTTTTTATATCAAGCTAAGCATATTTTTACTTTAAAACTATATTTTTTTACGTTTATTGAAAAAATGTTGTTTGCAACTCGAGCGCGAAATACTTTGGTCATCTCGATTATTTTTTAACTCGGCTACGCCTCGTTAAAAAATTCAGATCTCGATCACCAAAGTAGCATTTCGCGCTCTAGATACAAAAATAACTATTGTGGATGTCTGCTCGATTGAGGACCATAAAGTTGAAACATGAATATCTCATATATTTTACATAACAATGCGCGAAGTATAGGTACTTCGCGCACTGTTTTACTTCGCGCATTGTTTTGTGCAAGGAATCATGGTAACTTAGGAAACTGAAAAAAAGTGTCACTTCGCAATTTGTTATCAATGCGCGAACCTTCTCATTTTTTGACGTTTGTAGAAAAAATATAATTATTGTGAATACCTATATTGTTTCAAAATGAAATGAGGTTCTAGATTTTCATGATTCACGACAAGATTGGAATACTGGAAAATATCGATGAATTATTTCCTACTACTCTTGGGAGTATATTGATATTTGAATATCTGATAATGATAAATGCTTCTTTATGTAAACTTTTGGGTTTTTTTCGCACGCTAGTAGAAAAAAAATGGTATACCTACAAACTTACTTCTATTTAAAGTAAAAACTAATAATGTGATTCCACTCCAAGTATTGGTGAAGGTGACAGTTCACTTCATCCAAGATGCCAATGAAATTGATTTCATGATAAACAATAAGCCCTATTGACATTTCGGAGTACTGTCACTTTCTCTTCAACATACAAGATTCAATTTCACTGATATCAGAGCCGTTATACAGACTACAGAGGCTATATATACATAGCAGAAATTCTATCCATATTCACATTTTCGTTTATTTACACTGGTAAATCACGCGACAAGATTTTGTATCATATAATTTGTATAAATTGTAATAGATGGATGGGTTTGATTTAATTCAAAGTTCATATTCTCCTTATAGGCCATATCAGATTTTTGGTATTTTTCTCAGTGAACCTTTTCATTTGATAACCATATCATGATAGTTGCTGAGACAATTCTCGTTTCTATAAAATGAAAATATAAGTTGTATCATTTCGATATACGTGAAGGGAGGACAAATCATATGATTTGCCCCAAAATGTCACCGGGTCAAAAAAAATTCACTATTAGAGAGCATAAAACAAATATTCAATCGATTGTCAGTGTTACCTTCTTCTGAAAAATGTTCGATAAAGAGAAATATGAATTCATCAAGGAAATACGAAATTGTCACTCAGCTTTGGACGTTTATGAAATGAATATGTTCGCGTTTCCAACATAAGAAGTGGAAAATATTCTTCTCCTCTCATTTGATGAAGATGATACATCCTGTAACTCATTTGAAATGAGAATACGAGAAGAATAACATTTTCCGTTTTTATTCAAGTTAAATTGGTGGGGGGCGAAAAAATATATTGTGCCCCAGGCGTCAAGTGGTTTTAATCCGGTCCTGGCTGCTCTTTTGTTCATTCTCTAACATTATGGACTTTGATAGCAGTGGTATTCATACACAACTATGTTTCCTTCCAGGACGCCAATGGACTCAACAGAGTCACATCTAGTTACATCAAAAGATGCATTTTATTTCTTCTTATAAGTCGACCAAGTTTCATGAAAATTGGAAGCAGAGTTTTCCAGATATAACCTATAGGAGCTGGTGAATCAGAAACGAGCATTTTAAGATATGTGATTTTCCATGTCTTAATGAGGGACTCATCTATGTTTTGCAGACCAAAACTGTAGCACATGTACCGTGTACCTACATCTCAATGATTTCCCGATTTTATTTCTGAATAATCTTATCGTTGCAGGTTTTGAAACAAACGAAAATGGCGAAGGCAAACGAAAAGAAGAAACAAGAAGCTAAAAAAAAGGGCAAACCTCATACCCCCGAATCTTCCAACATAGACACCATGTCCATGAGCCAACGCTGGAACTATTTCAAGGAGAACATCACCGTCGAACCGATGCTGGCCTGCTACATCATACCGAGCGTCCTAGCCAGCCTGGCCACCCAAAACCTCAACCTGGAAAAAGCCTGCCGAGTCAATCTGGCGTACCCCAAAGAGATATGCGACGCTCTGACAGAAAGAAGAACAGAAAACTACACTAGCATAGAAGAAGAGGTCCAGCAGCTGGTAGCTTCCATGGGTATCTGGAAAACCATCCTCCAAAGCGGTCTGCCAGCTTTCCTGATCATGTTCGTGGGCTCCTGGAGCGATAGGTGGGGCAAGAGGAAGCCCTGCATGCTGTTTCCCATACTGGGTGAACTTATGACCGTCTTAGGTCTGATAATATGTACTTTTTTCTTTTACGAGCTGCCCATGGAGGTGGCTGGGTTTGTGGAAGGATTTTTTCCTGCTCTCACCGGCGGGTGGTTCACCATGTTCATGGGAGTGTTCAGCTACATCGGTGACGTCACCACCTTGGACGTGCGGACGCTGCGCATAGGCATAGTGAACGTGTTTTGTTCTCTCGGGATCCCCATTGGACTAGCGCTGAGCGGGATTCTGTACAAGAAGATCGGGTTCTACGGGATCTTCTCGATTTCGGCGGTGATGTACGTGGTGGCGCTCTATTACGGTTACAAACAGATCAAAGAGCCGAAGAAGATTGACGTTCCGACGTTGCCGGATCGACCTTGTGCCTTTTTCAGGGATTTTTTTGACGTGAGGCACCTGATGGATACTTTCAATGTGGCGTTCAAGGAGGGGAAGAACAAGAGGAAAATGAAGGTCATGTTGCTCATGTTGGTGGTCATGGTGGTAATAGGGCCAATGCATGGTTAGTATTTATCACGCAACTAATTGCAACAATTTTTCCCGATGAAAATTCCCTTTACGATACTTTGGGACGCCATGATATTCCTCACCTATAGACGTAATTTTATGAAACAAAGTGATTTTTTCTAGATTTTTTAATTTCTTCAGAAGATCAATGAGATATGAATAATTCACGATAGCAGAGTGTGCACAGTGAATACTTACCTATTGAAGCTTTACAAATTGAAAGTCTTCAATGAAATATGCAACTTATACAATTAACACGTTTATATTCGAACCCATGAAATAGGTACCTACCCAGAACAGTACGAACTGATTCCGAGAACATTCTTTTTTTTTTCTCGTCGAGTTGGTTAAAGTCCTTTATGGACATCATATTGGTCTTATCCCCCATTTGTGAAAGTCCTGTGATTCTAGGGTATATACCCACTAAACACTCCACCCCGTTTGTAGGCTCGTCTAATAGCTCGTCTAATAGCCTAGCATTAATAGGCCTACTGGCCCATTGCATCTCACCTACATGCCGTTATCAATTTTACCATATACGACTCAGTGTGCTTGTTAAGTCCACTTCAATATGAATGGCCCTTTCAGTTCAGCTTCTTGAAGATTAATCTTCCGATCCTTGTTCTCGTGCCCCCTGCAGAAGGCTAAGACTGTTCACTCTGAGATGTAGCCCTGCTTTACAGAGGCCCCGTTAGCGACACCATACCTCGGTGCCATTCATTAATCGCCACGGGTTCCCACAGCTTGGATTCAGTTGTTAGAGCCTCTTTGATCAGTCCTCGGCCACCTAGACACCATCTGGCACAAGACAGCAAAGATGGTTCCAAAATGCTTCTTCTGTCGAGCGGTTTCTGTCTTCCCCACACCACTAAATGGTGGGGTTGGGCTTGGAGGGGAAGAGGAAAAGAGAAGTTGGCCAAGGAAGGCCGGTAGAATAGATTGAAATAGGAAGAGTAGAGAGGATATCACCCAAGACAAGTTGAAGTATGGTGAATTTCTGGCCAGGGAACTTCGGGTTCACCATTCCCGTACTCACAAGCTGTGAGCCCCTGAGGGGGAGAACGTTCTTAGAATAGTAAGTTCCCGTGAAACAATAGGAATATTCTTAGAATGCTCTCACAAGGTGCACTGAACGTTCTGAGAATATACTAAGAAAATGCAAATGGGGCGAAACTTTACGTTCCAAGAACGGTCTCATAATATTTTTCGAAACATTCTCAGAACATTATATAAATATATAGAACACCTGAGAATGATGAATTGTGATATTCTCAGCATGCAGGGTATCTTTAAGAGCATGGAAAATATTCACCCAAAAACTGTTGCAGTTCAAAAATAAAACAAATACCATATGGATGCCTCAGGAATATCACGATGTGTGAAAGCATAGTATTTTCAGCGTACCTAATAATATATGTGGAAAGAAAGTATTTGGAGGAAATAGCGGGAAATTTGAATTTACATTAAACCCTATTGACAAGTTCTATCGAAATCTGCTAAAAGGATTTTGAATAATCATTGAAAAATCGTTTTTTTTTTTCTGGAGAATTTGACTCCCCCTATCTCATAAACGAAGTAAGTTAGGGCATTTGTTTACAGGAAACAAAAATGTGTCCTTCCCTCAGAGTACATTCTTTGAATATACCTGAAGAACATATACCTAGAATATTCGAACAATAGATTCTATGATCATTCCTAACCTGAATAACATTCTTAGAATATAATGGAATATTCTAGGAACGTTCCTAGGATATTTAGATCAAATGTTCCATAAATATTTTTGTAAAACATTCATTATATCCTCATCATATTCTATGAGTAGAATATTCTGTGCTGTCTGGGACTTCCGAAGTGAAGAATGATGTGAGCTTCGTACTGAGTAGGTATACTAAATATAATGAAAATCGGTAGAAACAATCATCGACAATAAAGAAACACTTCCAAATGAAAATCTCATCCTGTAGATATGAGATAATATTCAGAGTGGGTCCGAAATGGTACATGAACATCGAGATGGCAAATTGACCATTATTGCATTGCATAAATGTGCATCATTTTTCCTATTTTGCTTTCACCCTGCATTTTCTGCTCGAAATTTCAATAATCTGTAACTCGGAAATGTTCATTGGAACTTTCATTATTTTCTTTATGACACGCTCTATCACTCTGGAAATGCGTCCCACATATTATGAAACACAAGTATATCTGATCAGTTTCCTCAAAATATACGAGTGAAATCAGGAGTAATATCGTACTGAGGACTGTATAGATTTAACGATGTTCAATCTTCAATAATAACAGAATTTACAATGCTGGACACTTTATTATTAATTAAAATACGGTTTCAGAAAGATATTATCCGATGGACCAATGTGAAACTCATGTGGTGCTCATACTACAAGTATTCTAATCCACATGTTGAGTATTTCACTGCTCCATCGGATATTATCTTCAGAGAAGGGCGAAATATTCTAGGAAGTATTGACGCTCTGCCTATAACTTACATCAGTTTGAATCGCAAAGGCGACATTTTCCCCTTTTATGGGCTTCTTCAGTCAAACTCGACAAGCATAGCCAGCACAACCTTTCGTAGTCAACCTCGAAATATGTCGAACAACACTGTACCAAAACTAGTTCTTTGACAACGGAAGTATTCCCAAGAACTCATAACCTCCAAAAGTACAAAAAATTACAAGTCTCTCTTTCCTCCCTAGGTACGTGCGATGTTTTTCGAACATTGCGTTCCAAAAGAAAAAAAGGAAGGGAACAATAAGGTCAATAAGACAATATTGGGTGGATATATAATACAAATGATGAATGATTTTGGGTGACTGGGGTTTGGAGGGATTCTGCCGCCTGGTGTGTGATGAGAACTCGACCTTCCTGTGGTGCTCATACTACAAGTATTCTGATCCACATGTTGAGTTTTACACTGGTCCATCGGATATTATCTTCAGAAAGGGACGAAATATTCATTACTACTAAGTATTGACGCTCTGCCACTAACTTAGATCAGTTTGAATCGCAATTGCGACATCATCCCCTTTTATGGGCTTCTTGTTTCAACTTGTTTTCACATGACGAAAGTATGTTTGGAATAATAGCAGAAAATAAATCGCTGTGCCGTGGCTTTGGCTCAGACTGAGACGTGGCACAGGTAGTTTTTTGAAATATACCATTCAATTGGAATCGGATGGCATAATTCTTATTTTGTTATCAAATTTCCGCACAGGAAAGTGCAATTTTTCAATCATTTTGCCGTTCGATAAACTACAATGGTTTCACATGCCTTTGGGACATATATCATTTCGTCATCAGATGACGGTCAAAATTTGCAGTCGGCTCTTGAACTAATACCATAATTATCATTATACCACAGGCCCTTAGTTTACATTGTATTCAAATTTATAATCCACCTATTATTTGTTCACATTCTATAACCACATACATACCACAAACATGAAGTATGATCTATTACTTTCGTGAACTGGGTACATTTTAATAAAAAAAATTATAATTATCATCGATAGGTCTGTGGTTTTTCCAAGGTGAAGAACTATATGCATTCAATATCTATTATAGAAAGTAAATTGTCGACTTTGGTTACCAAAAAACAAAGAAAACCACCGAACTGCGAAAATATTAATATCTCAAGAATTTTCAATTTCAATTAAAATGTTTTAATTTTTCTTATATGTACATCATATCCAATACATTTTTTATCGTTTGTTCAACTTAATAATAATTAGCTTCGGTATATAAATTAACTTCTACAATCTTCAGAGTAGGTCAAGACTCCCAATTTTCAGGAATAATTTTGTTATTGAACAGAGTTGATGAAAAAGTGTGGATAGTCATTTGTTGATGAATCTCAAGCAATACGATCACCAATTTAATTAACCGTATCAAAATAAATACAAGAGAAAACAAAACATAAATGTATACAAAATGTTGAACAAATGTTCTTTGGTAATATGCTTAAGACTATAACGCTTAGACGATTCTAAGATATAAACAAATAATAGTTTAGTGTCAATAACCTCATTTTGCATTTGATCATCATGATAACATTATGTGATTTGACCATCATCAAGAATCATCAATGAACATTATTTTTAGAGCACCGCATCGTTAGCATGTCTATGGTTTGTACCGGTATTGCCTTGACCCATCTCGTTTCACAATGTTGAGTGATTAAGTGTCCCCCCTAATAAAATCGACCACACGAAATCAAATAAGAAATTGTCGGAAATATGTTTGCTTCCTCAACTCTCTTCAAGTGACATATACCACTTATTTTTTTAAAGAGATCTAGATAGTAATAATCTAGAATTCCCGTTTTTTTTCAAGAAACTAAGAACTTACGACGAAGACATGTCAACGCTGTCAATTTACATCTTGCGGAAGTTACAGGGGAACCAAAAATAAATATTTGGTTGCAACGCCACCACAATTCTCGAGCCTGTATTTTCTCTAGAAAGGCGGAACTCAGTATGTCTGATATATAACAATATCTGGTACCACCATTCCTATCAAGTCCACTATATCTATGCTCGGTATTTCATTCAGCAATATTTTTCCATGGGAAAATCAACATCGCGAAAGCTGCTTCACAAAAACTCGTATTTTCATTTCGTGCGAAAATCTACTTCTTCACAACGGCTTCTCATGATCTGCAAAGCACAGATACGGCCTGTTTTAGAATACTGTTGTCATGAATGCGAGTGCCAGCACCAAAACATACGCTGATGGTCTTAGATTCCATCAAGAGGCGAGCTATTCGCCTGGTGGGTTATGCCACACTCACTAATCATTCGACCTCATTGAACAACCGTAGAAAAGTCGGCGACCTTTCAGTGTTCCAGAAGTAGATACTTCCACGGGAAAGGTCAGTCGAACTCGACAAGCACAGTCAGCACAACCTTTCGTTGTCAACCTTGAAATATGTCGAACAACACTGTACCAAAACTCGTTCTTTGACAACGGGAGTATTCCCAAGAACTTATAACCTCCAAAAGTACAAAAAATTGCAATACCTAGCTAGTCTATTTTTCCTCCCTAGGTACGTATTTTCGAACATTGCGCTCCAAGAGATAAAAGGAAGGTAAATTCTGTAACTTACCAGCGGAATTTGATCGATTCACTGGGTCAATAATGTACAAAACAGTTCTTGACCCAAGGTGGTATACCTGGCAAAGCAATAAGACAATATGGGGTGTTGATATAATAAAAATGATGAATGATTTCGGGTGACTTTGGGGTTTGGAGGGATTCTGCCGCCTGGTGTGTGATGAGAACTCGATCTTCCTGCCGATTGATCGACGGATGTCCCGTTAGCTCAATTGGCAAAGCGTTGAGCATGTAACCCAGAGGTTGTGAGTTCGACTCCCACGCGGGGCGGTGGAGTTTTTTCATTTTCTGTTGACACTCGAAATTAGGGCCTCCATCATCTTCAAAAATAACATAATGAGAAATTGTAGAAATGAAAAAGTGTTGCACTACATTATTGGAAAAAAGTCAAAATTATCTAAACTTTTTGAACTTTCAGTCCGAGTCAGTATGTCATAAAATAATGAATGACCTATACAGGGTGTTTCCGAAATTGGGGCATTAAATGAAATGAGGTTTTCTGTGAGACAAAGTGATATATCACAAAGAAATTGTTTTGAAAATGTATCAAGAAATATGCGCACCCACCTTATAACATCTTGACTATTGTATTTGGATGTATGACATGATCATACAGGACGTGGAAAGAAATTTTGAATTGAAAAAACCCAATCACGAATCTGCGATTAGAGGTCTAAACAAATAACAAGATTCCATCGTTCAAGTTTGAACCCTTTGACTGGGTATGAAAGTATTGAAAAGGAATATTCTCAGATATATTATGAACATGTAAAACAAAATGAAAATATATATGAAGGCTTTCATTGAGAATTCACTTTCTCTATGTGATAAAAATATCAATGATGATATGTGCATAAATAATTTTATCTGAAGGAGAATGCAAATTCTCAACTACAGAAGATTTTATTTTCAAATTCTAATTGTGTGTGTTCCGAGGTGTGTTCAATAGATATGTTCATCGTGACATATACCCAGGAAAGTAGTTGTTTTTTGTGCAATATATCGAAAAAGAATTATATTTTCATCACATAGATAATGCGAATTCACAATGTAAGTTTTCATATATATGATATATCTTTTTTTTTTCTTGTTCGTAATATATCTGAGAATATGCCTTTTCAATATCTTAGGTATTATTGAACGTCCGGGAACATTGAAAAAATCATTGATATCGTGTAGTCATTAAACTTGTTCTTCTCTTTCAGGTGAGATGAGTGTTTCCTACTTATTCACTAGATATAGATTCAACTGGGATGAAGTGGATTATAGTATTTTTTCAACATATAGTATGGTTACTAATCTCATAGGTAAGCATATAACAATATTGTAGAAACTATTGGTAGGTCACAAGTGTGAATACGTAAAACAGTTCATATACTTCTAGAGTAAAATTATAAAGAGGAAAGATTTGTCGGTTTGTTTGTTACGCGATACGCTCTCTTGCGGATCTTCAATTAACTAATGGAAAGTACATTGAATTTCGTTTACATTCAAACTTCTATGTTTTATCGAAAGTTCAGTGGTCATTGTGATATTTTTCGAGTTTGAAATTTGAATTGTTCACTAAAGTATTTTAAAATGATTATTGCTCTGTTTCACATGTTATTCATGAAAGTTTTCTTACTGTATTGCACAGAAAATGATAATTTCAATTAGTGTATAATTGACATATTTTTTCTCAACTTTGAGATTGAATTAAGTTGCATTTTATTCCCAGAAGTGAAAATAATACCAAGTCCGAAACAGTAGGTATTCATTGAATGCAGGATGATTCATTCATACATATAGAGAACTGAAAAAATCATCAGCCTGAAATTGTCGTTGGAGCTATAGTGTGTGTAAGATTTTATGATCCGTTAATTCATTATAATATTATTTCACTGTTAGCGGAACATGTCCTTTTTTTAAGTTTCGTCAAAATCTTATCGTTATTCTGCTTATTGCCCAAAAGAATTAGTATAGTGTTAGTACCTAACAAGTGCTGAAAGTGATACCTACTTTTCCGCACGTGTTAGGTACACTATTTTCTCTACTAGTTTGCTGAAAAATCCAAATTCCTCTTTTCCGCACTCTAGTAAACTATATAATGAAGTTGTCAATTATTTGTTATTTTTTAGGTACGACTTTGTCCGTGGGAGTTTTTAGTCATCTCCTGAAGATTGACGATGCTATCATCGGAATTTACTCATCCATGAGCAAAATACTATCTAGTTTTGTGTATGGTTTCGCTACAACGTCCCTCGTATTCTATTTAGGTGAGCATTAACGTCTCAATATGGTGGTGGTAATATTTAATCGTTGAATAAGGGAATCAAGATCTTGTGGAAATGTTGAGAAATATAGAATTGATTGAATTATTTCAAAATCTCGAAATTTTTTTGATGGCTACTGCGCTATACATACATCCAAAGGTATGCATTGCTTAGGGTACGCCGACGATGTTGCGATTATTGCAAAAGGCAAATTCGCAGGAACAGTCTCGGAACATACCCAAACTGCTCTAAACATAATTAACAAGTGGTGTCAAGAGGAGGAACTAACTGTGAACCCTCTTAAAACCACGATAGTGGTTTTTACTAAGAAGAAAGTACTGAGAGGGCTGAAGCCACCAGTTCTTAACGGGGTAGAAATTCCAATTGCACAAGAGGTAAAATACTTGGGAGTCATCTTCGACCACAAGCTGACATGGAATCAACACCTACAGAAAATAATCCAGAAAAGCACGATAGCCCTCAACCTGTGCAGAAGAATGTGCGGGAAAAACTGGGGGTTAAAACCAAAAATGATCATATGGCTATATACCAGGGTTATTAGACCAATGATAGCATATGGTTCGGTGGTATGGTGGCCAAAGACTCGGCAGGCTGGGGCGACCAAAAGGCTAAGTGGCATTCAAAGGCAAGCCTGCCTGGCAGCCACGGGAGCTATGAGGACAACCCCAACAGCCGCCTTAGAAGTCTTGCTGAACCTACCGCCACTTCACGTCTACATACAAGGCGAAGCCAGGTCAGTCACCAATAGATTGACCAGAGGGCAAACGCCCATAAGCAGACTGCACGGTAAGATGTACAACGAACTATACAAAGAGTTGGAAACCGACCCGATAATGGGAATGCCATCGGACGAGATGCTTCCCAAGTATAGCTTCGGTAAACAATTTAAGACTGTTATAACAGACAGAGAGGCATGGAAGGGAGGTCCTCCAATTGATGCAGAAATGGCCTGTTATACAGACGGCTCAAAAACCGATGAAGGTGTAGGAGCAGGAATATATATAGCCAAGCCAAAGACAAGAGTCTCACTGAGCTTAGGTAAACACGTGACGATATTCCAGGCAGAAGTTGCAGCAATACATCAGTGTGCAGGAGAGTTAATAAGGCAAGAGTTTAAGGAAAAGACCATCGCCATTTACTCCGACAGCCAAGCGGCTATAAAAGCAATCAGCTCCATGCAGATCAATTCCAAACTCGTCTGGGACTGCTTGGAAACCCTACAAGAGCTGGGCAGTCAAAACAGACTGTACTTAGCCTGGGTACCAGGCCACACAGGCTACAAGGGCAACGAAGAGGCTGACTCACTAGCCCGAGAAGGAGCAAGATGTGCTCCTATCGGTCCAGAACCTTTCTGTGGTATAGCGAAAGCGCTGCAAAGAACAAATAACAGCACTTGGATGAAGAAACAGTCTCGAGAATGGTGGAACAAGGCGCCGGGAATGAGACAGGCCAAAGAGTTCATTAAAGAACCATTGCCAAAATTCACGGAGTACCTACCTACTAAGCCAGAATAGGAGAACAACAAGGATCTTGGTTGGGCTCCTGACAGGGCACTGTAGACTCAACAAACACATGAACAACATCGGATTGGCGGACACAACCATATGCAGGTTTTGCCAAGAAGATGAGGAAACCTCAGCACACATACTGTGCTACTGCGAAGGCCTGACTAGGCTAAGGTTTTCGACGATAGGGGAGGAAAAACCACAGCCCTCTCAATATATGGAGGACCTGAGGTCTGGCCTATGGAGTCTAGTAATAAGGATGGGTTTAGACAAGGAACTCTAACTTAACATGAGGGCACACACAATAGATCTGTAAAGGTCGCAGTGGAGAGGCTCCTAGTAGCACATGAGCCCCATATCAATCTAATCTATACATACATACCTCGAATATCTGAGGAAATTCAAGATATCTCTAAGCGTTTCTGAAATATCCTGAAAAAATTGAAAATACTTACTTCGAAGTTGTTCACCAACAATTTCACTATTATCCCAGCGAACATACATTGTTTTCAAGAACGATGAACACCGATACTGGTTGGAAACGTCAACATTGAAACTCGGATGTGAAAAGCCTAGATATTATATCACAAAAAAAAATTATTTCATAATTCGATAGATCTCGCCCAAACCACACCCAAACTAGCTCATCACCGCAAACCGTTTCTTGCTGTGAGCTCCCTACGTTTTATAAAAAATTATTGAGATCCTCATTTTTCGGACCTAGGAAAACGAGGCGATTATGTGACGTCAAGACAGAGATGAATGATACATTATTTCTGACAGAGTGAATTAGCGCGAGATCACAGTTGAAAGAATTAATTTATCAGTTGCCTCATCATTCTCCGTCGGGCGTTTGGTATTTTCTTTTAACTATGGCGAGATGAGGTTTCTACGTCATAAGAGGGTCCATTTTCAGAAAGTACTATTATTTATGTCCAAAAATGAAACATTCCAGTACATTTTTCGATCGAATTATGTCGTCAGTCATTCAAACGTTTTTCATTCCTTCAGTATATTCTCGTTGTCAGCGACTGGTTACGTTTGACGGTACGTTTGAAATGAGCTCTGAAAATCTGCAATTTCAAACGACGCAAAAATTAATTCAGGTCCCTAACGATACAGTGGAGTAACTGAATGCCAATAATTCATTATTAGTGCACTCGCCCATTTTCCACATTTCTTACCCCATGCCCATCATGACCTAATATAAAATATATAAGTATCTATGAGAGTTTCTTCATTACAGGAGCCATAGTTGAAATCCTGAATGGGACATCCTTCATTGCCATGAGATCTATCGCCTCGAAACTTGTACCAACGGAGGAACTAGGTAATATTATATTTCGAATAATATACCGATATCTACTTATCATTTACGGGAATCAAATATTTGCTATTAATTTATCAATATTGTTCATATTAACAAGGATTTTCATTTCGAAACAGATTTTAGCAATTTTAGTGTCAAAGAGCTGAAGGTGAAGTTTAACTGCGAGGTAGGTACTAGAAACGTGTCGGATGACATCTAATATGATACCTGTTGCTTTGACACTGAGATGCTCAAGTGACTCAAACTACAATTCGAACATCCTTAAACATTTAATAAACCTGCTGTCAATGCAGGTTGAATATTCTCACCACACGTATTATTTGTCAATATTTGTTGCATTGCATACATATGGAACGACATTGGTGGTTACTTCACATATTTATTCAAGTTAATTGTTTCGGTTGCAAAAAAAATAGCATGTTTCATCAGGATCAAAAGTGACTTTGTTCGACTCGCAAATTTTGCTTTCGCTCGGCTTCGCTAAACGCTCCGCCTCGCAAATGCAAAATTCGCTCTTCAAATAAAGTGTCACTTTTGATCCTAATGAAACAATCTACTATTCTTGGAATTTTAAATACTATTTTTGTCCCTAGGTTTATAATGTACTATTATACACTTGTTTGACATCTAATTTCAATCGATTGAATAATCACAACGTGTCAAAACTGGTGAAGATTTATCTCGTACATCACCAGAAATGTCTGTCTGGGAAAATGAATTTCCAATGAAATAAAACAAAAACTGTAACAAATTGAAGAGGAAAGTCACTTTATATGGAGAGTGTTTTCATAAATCGTGAGAAAACAGAAAAAATGGCATATCTCTTTATATGTATATAGCCTAATATATGTACATATGCATTTAATGATAGCTATCAATACACGAGCACGAGATAAAAAACCGTGCGAGTGTATTGATAGTCATTACTTGATCGTTGCACACACTATTTTTTCTATCACTAATGAATATAGTTAAATTAAAACCAGTATTATTTTCATACTATTTTTAATTTCAATTTGGACACGTTGTGATTGAATGTCATCTGAAATTATCCCCAAGTAGGTACAGTCGTATTCAATAAATGAGCGTAAGTATTAAAAAGAGAGGATTTCGGGATCCTAGTTCTAGTTGTGTAAAACTGGCTCAGCCAATGCTTTGTGTTTTTGAGAACCTATGACAACTTTACTGTCAACATTTGGTAAGCAATCATTCCCGATAGCCCGTTTTATGCAGAATATAATGACGTTAATTTCTCTCTGTAATATACTTGTACACTTTTTTTAATTCGACTGTACGTGTTTCTTAGTCCGAAAATCGTGTCATGATGGAAACTACGTATTTTCATTGGCCAGAAACTGTTTCGATACGAAAATCCGTGATAAAATTAATGATACTAACGAATCGGTAACAGATATTGAATTTATAATACGATAGTAGGAAAAAAACTACTTATATACCCATACTTTTCACTTATCCATCATTTACATTCTCATTCACGTGACCACGTGATCATGAAGGGATATTTTGAGAAAATATTATAATAGTTATTTATGTATCAAGGGCGTAAAGTAGGCGTTTATGGCCTGTGGCGTGAATAATGGCCCGATGGCGCTAGCCGAGGGCCATTACACGCTCAAGGCCATAAACGCATTTCACGCACGTGATACATACAAAATTTTATGCACTAGTGGTTTATTTTCTGACTCAAAAGTAATGACTATAGATATCGATAAACTAATATTTCCCCGAATTTGATTTGTTGCGTATTAATTCACTAATCAAGAGAAGCGTAATGTTCATGGATGATTTACATATGAAAATTATCGTACGAATATTGCAATTATCGTAATAGTAAAACTCTTTGATCTCTAGAAGAGATTCATTCTTCAGAATTTTACAATATGCATACCCAGTATATATACCTAACTAATTTTGACGTTGTCAATCAAACTAATGGTTGTTGTCTATATCAATACATCCAAATAAACGAGCTGAATTGTCATTCTTTGACTGAAAAGTAAAAATTAGTGATAATAATAATAGCGATAGATATGGAATCGGATAAAGAAGAAGTTTATGATATACCGCTGGATATATCAGAATCTAGGAAAATGATCATAGGTTTTTCATTAATTGATATGTGGATATAAGGTAACTGAGAACACCGGGCGGTAAAGTGCACTTTACGGCTCGTGGGCCATAATGAGCCCGCGGGTGGTAAAGTGCGACTTAACGCCCGCAAAACCGGGCGGTAAAGTGCACTTTACGGCCCGCTAGTGCATAAAAAATATTTCTCAACAGAATACTACATACTTCATACCTTTTTAGGCAAAGTCAATTCACTTTTTGGAGCATGCGAGGCTCTTATGCCTTTAGTATACGGCCCAATGTACAATGCTACTTATGCTGCCACCATCAACGTTATGCCAGGAGCATTTTTCATCCTTGGGGGATTTCTGACAATTCCTGCTGTCATTATTTTTGCGTAAGTTACCTTTATCATGAATGAATATGTCTTCAAACTTCGAAACGAAATTTTATGTTGAAATAACAACTGAACTGTGGTTGAACAATCCAGTTGAGTTAATAATCCTCAGCAGAAATGCTGCAACCTTACATCAGTTCTAACCTACAGGGTGAGTCATGAAGAACTGTATATACACATAAAGGAAATACTAGGTGAATATTAAAAAAATCACCTTACATATTACAGAAACTTCTTTCGCTATAGCGCCAATGAAAATGACTGTTGATTCTATGATCCATTTCTTTCGAAATCCCAATATGGATTCTTTAATATTTAGAGAAATCTCGGTATTTCGAAAGAAATTTTCTTTAGTTGTGATGAAATTTATTTTTTCCAACAAAATAAAATTTCTCTACATGTTACAGAATGTTTTGATAATAATGAAATGATGTTACAGCATGTGTTCATTATATTTAAAGAACTATCTATCATTACAGAAGACAGTTCTGTATATTCAAAATAATAATGCTGTCAAAGTATGAAATAGTTCTGTATCATTGAAATATTCATTCCGGCAATCCTATGGGATGTAATCTTGCAGCATTGAGAGCATTGGGGAAAATGAAAAATTGGCAAAACCTCTACCTGAATTTTCTATAAAAGAATCATTTTTCCCAGGCGTCTTGGAGTTTTTCTGCAAATAGTTCCAAGCAGCAATTCCAACCTGAAACAAAATGAAATTAGTTTGAAGCAATATCAAATAGGTATTACATTCATCAATACTTGGTTCATCTAATAGATATAAAATATCATCCTCGATTGATGATATTATGGAGCTTTTTATCGAAATATGTACCAATAATTGTTCGAGTGACGATTTTCTATACCTTAAGTATGGATATTTTATCAATTCTTCTAGGGTCTTAGAAATTTTCTGAGAACATCCAGCTCCATTTTTCGAAAATATCCTCGAAAATATCTTCCAGGCATTTCCCGTCTTTCATGAGTAACCTGAAACAGAGTAAAATAGTTAACCCCTCTTGTCTCATTGTTTGACGAATGAATATAACATTATATAATCATTGGTAGTAGATACTCACCAGAACGATAGAAAATCGAAACAATTCACACTACTTGATATAATTGCTGATGTCTTCACAACACAAAATGCGAAATGAGAATAGGGACTTGAGGAGTACCAGGGCCAATCGATCTAAAAATAGCAGGTTTACCCTGATTGGATGGAAATGACATCATGTACCAAACGTGTCTGTAAATGGAACAAAACTATTTGTTATGAACACAGAATTTTTTTTCAGCATAATTCAATTTTTGGCTTTCATTTTGCTTCCACGGCCTACTCGGTGAATTTCAATAATAATTTTTTTCTGATCTATTTAGTTTCTGGTTAGATACCAACTTGTGATATGTCATTAGAAAGGGAATTGAATGCTGAATAAAGCGAAAAAAAAATAGGGTTTCCTTTTGAAATAAGAAAGTTGATGTTACTTCTGGTCAGACCGGAAGTTAACTTCGACATGTCAATATGCTCAAATTCTAGCTCTTATTTCATTATATCGACGCTCCAAATTTCACAAACCCACTGCATACAATAACTGAGATATTCCGTAGGCAATACTTCCGTATCCACCCGGTATATTAGTGAAGAAGAAGAGAAGACACTTTCTGATGGTCATAAGGTATTCGCTCAGGGCCCTCTATTCGTGGTAGGAGTATGTACAGTTCCTCATGACTCACCCTGTATTTGAGAGCTAATTTGTAAAATAACCTCGTATATAGGTATGGGCGCAAGGGGTTGCGAAGGATAGGCAACACTTGGAGGGAAACGAAACAACAGACCAACGAAGTTAACAAACAAAATTTTTGTTTGTTGACTTCGTTGATTTGTTGTTTCGTCTTCCACCAAATGTAACCTATATTTTTTGCACTTTTTTCACCGTACTGATACTTGGGTTAATTCTTTATGAGGGCTATGTTCAATACTTTTTTCTAGTTGCTCAAAACAGCCCTCAATATTCCTTTCATACTGTATAATTATCTATAATTGATATTCCATTAATTAATATGATATAGTGTGTAGACTGTATAGATGTAGATGCACCTCCCTGAAAGAAATCCTGGTGGCACCTACATCTATATAGGTAATTTGATTACAATGTGTTGGCTATAGAAGAAAAACTGACACTGTTTCTCTCCAGAAATACCTAATAATACAAAACTCAAACTTCTGTTTTTCCAGGTGGATGTATCTTCAGAATAGGAAAGAAGCCAAAGCGAACAACAGCAAAGTGAGCACCGAAAAACAAAGGAGCAACTCCATCATTGCTGACGTGATACTGAGCAGTGTTCCTAAAGAAGCCCAAAGCGGCAACCCTGTAGGATCTCCTGTCATAAATGGTTACAGAAGAGCGAACGGGATCATACCAGAACAAAATCAAAATGGACTGACGAATCCAGTTTTTGAAAGAGAAGAAAAACCAGACAAAGTTAACAATGATGATAACAAAGACAAGGAAAATAGAGTTGGTGATATTGGCAGTGGTATCAATAATCCTGTTTTTGAAATGGATAATTGAAAAAAATGGTGCCTATGGTGCCTTTCATTCATGTGATAATAAATTTAAGAAAAGAAAATAATTAAGTAGATTCAGTTCTTCAACTTCATAGCTACCTATATGAACATACAATATTGTGATTAAATAGGATAATTTATTTATAATGTATATTATCAATAAGTTGATTTTACATAAATTGATACATGAACAATACACTTGTGTTAGTGATTTCGAAGACTAATACATAATTACTATATCATGGAGGTTTGCAAAATTTTACTAATGATTGTTCATTCTCACCCCACCAGTCACCAAAGACGACGGCACATTAGCAACAACATCGCGAGAGAAATCAAACATTTTTGCAGAGATGTTCGCAGCAAACTCTACTTTAGATTAACATGGAAAGGTGCTGCCAGATATGGAAAGTTGAATACTCTAAATTGTCTTTCGTCAACGCACTCACTCTAACGGTCCTGATGGAATTCCTCCCACCATTCTCAAAAATATGTGCGCCAGAATTAACACTGAATCTCTGCAACTTATTAACCATCCCGTACAAGTCTTTCTGGAAGATAGCCAGAATCCAACCAATCCCTAAAAAAGGGAACAGAAACCTACCCAATGAATACACGCTTATTGCCCTGTTATAACAGTTATCTCCAAAGTGATGAAGAAAGCCATCAACATAGAGCTTATCAAATATCGGTAAAGCTTAGAAATCATCAATGATAGACAATATGGCTTCGGCAATCGAATTACATCAACATACATGGGAAATCTCTAGCTATGGCGTTGGACAATTCAAAAGCATTCGACCGTGTTAGGCACTAAGAAGTCCTTTACAAATTTCTATAATACGGCTGATCAGTCTTACAACCACAGCTATGCCATCTTTCATTCCTTCAGGCAGATCGCCCCAGTGGTGGACGGAGTATGGTCTGATACAATTTTCATCAATACCGGCGTTCCACAAGGATCAATTTCGGCACCAACATTGTTCTAACTTCATATCCAATGATCTGTTGAGAATAACCACTTGCCCTATTCACAGCTTTGCAGATGATAGTACTCTACTCTCCATACTGCCACCTCTTCCAGAATTCCCATTTCTTCCCAGGAAACTGAGAACTCACGGCGAATTTAGGCCAACGCTGTCAATGAATTGATTGATTGCTAAAATCACTGCCTGGTGAACGAACGCCACCAAAACTCAAGCCTGCATTTTCTCTAGAGAGGCGGAACCCAGTATTCCTGATATAACATATAAAAGGAAATTTATACACCAATCCGCCATTAAACAACACGAGTGTGAAAGAGACAGGCAACCGTAACACAAGCTATTATTGTTGCAGTTGTCCCTGACACACTATGTGCAATTCGAGAAAACGGCAGTTTCCCTTCCAGTTGTTCACATTGAGTTCAATGCGATTTACTTGTTGCATATCAGTTCGAATATACATAGATATCAGGATATACAGGTATATGAATGGGACAAGGGATGTAGGACATACCCTGGAAATACTGAGCAGGACATCCCAGGGATGTCCCAATCATATCCTTGTGCCGACAGTACACTTTGGTACATAAAAGGGACGTACCTGGGATGTCCCTGTGTTGTTGGGGTATAATCTACAAAAGTTTCAAAAAAATCCAATACCAACACCTCCTCTTTCTATCCTCCTTATAGGTTGTACTTCGAACATTATAGGGATTCTCTTTCATGCGCTTCAAACAATAAAAAAAAACAAGCAAGTCAGTCGACCAGCACAAGATATAGGTCACTTTGGAGACCTGCAGAACATCTCTTTCCAAAGACTCGTTCATCCGACGAACAGCGAGGCTCTGGAACACATTGCCAAGGGAGTTGTTTCCCGAGGCATATAACCTCCAGGAATTCAAGAAGAACAACAATTCCTACCTCATTTTCCTTCGTTCTCACGATGTTCTCTGAACATTACAGGATCTCCCTTTTCCTGGGAACCCAGAACAAAAAAACTGACTCATCCACACTTCGTACTTCATAGCTCGAATTTTAGTGAGGATGTGATGGACAGTCTGCACGAAGGGGAACAGCAGTCCAGCTGAATACTATACTTGATTGCTAGCCATTCACCCGGTTGTGCGTTTCTGTAGGAATAGAAATACATGGTGACAGCAAACTGTTCAGAGTTATTACAAATTGAGCACTAGGGAAGAGCAATGCGTTTTCATCGAGCAATATTTCCAAAATGATAAAAATTTGGCAGCTATAGTTCGAAATGTACCTAACTTCATACCGTATACGGTCGGACACGATGATGTTGATTTCTGAATTATGACACTTCAAATTTGGAAAACCGGGAAAAACCCCTATATATTTTGTTATATTCTAATTATACCGATGACTTTATGAGTTCCTACGTACCTTATGATATTTAATTCTCAAAAGTGTGTTATTTATATAAGGCGATGATAGTAGTAGTAGTTAGTACAATGTAGGTAGGTATGTACATACCAACAACTTCACAATATTCAATTCGTAAATTGAATATTAGGAGAATTCCTTGCCCTGGCTGGGATTCGATCTCACGACCTCGCGGTCATGAGACTGGCACTCGTCGACTGCGCCAATTCCGTCAGGCGATAATATATTTATGTACAATTGAAAAATCTTGAAAAGACACCTAGTTTTCTGAATTGTTTCAAGAGAGAATTTCACAAATAATACTCAGTTCAGATAAACTACCGATACACAATCATATGTAGAATGTTCATTATGAATATTTTTATTAATTGTCTCGAACTAGATTACTTATGGCAGATGAGCAAATGATTGTATTGAGTGTACAATTGGAGAATAGAAATTAGAAAGGACCTAAGTGCCAAAAAAATACATTTTGAGAAAATAGAGAAAAACTAAATAAAAGTCAAGGAAGAAAGATTGCAAACTAAACTTCTTACTACAAGAAAACATTTTTAAACAAGTAAAAATTCAGAAGAGACCTAAGTGAAGTGCCATGACTGATAACTTGTTTTTAAACAACTCTGTTCACTTCTGAATGAACCACTGCCTTTACTTTTCCTTTTCCATTGATTTTCTTCCATTTTAATGTATTCTTAAATCAAAAAATTATCACACACAAAATGACATACCATTATCGACATATACGAGGGGCTTCTTATATAAAGGTAACTTCGGCACTTTCATTCTTAGATCAATGTGAGAACCTGAATTCATACTATTTCATACAATAATTTCGAGAGGATAATTTTGTATAAAATGGGTTGAATCATGATGAAGGAGATTCATTCTAATAATAATAATAATAATAATAATAATAATAATAATAATAATAATAATAATAATAATAATAATAATAATAATAATAATAATATAATAATAATAATAATAATAATAATAATAATAATAATAATAATAATAATAATAATAATAATAATAATAATAATAATAATAATAATAATAATAATAATAATAATAATAATAATAATAATAATAATAATAATAATAATAATAACAGCATCAAACAGCACTGCCTCGAAAGGATACGGATGTTAGTGGCTGCAAAACAGTCACTAAAGAGGCGAGCGAGAGGGCTGGCGGAAAATAAACAATTCCGTGAAAAGCCCTCTCGCTTATTTCAACCGCCTCCAAGTGTGGTGAACAATCCGCCGACTGCTGATCAGGTGGAAACCTTTTGGAAGAGTATCTATGAGGTGAGACATCCATTCGACAGAGATACTCCAGCCCTGGCGCAGTTCGGTACCTTCTGCGAAAGATACCGAGAGCCTGAGCCCGAATTACTGCGCCAACCGATAACCACTGAGGAGGTTCGAGGAGCCCTCAAAGGCTCCAAGAACTTTGCTGCTCCTGGTCCCGATGGGATCAATAACTTCTGGTGGAAAAAGTTTCCCTCTACCCACCACCATTTAGCCAGTATATTCAATAGCTGGCTAAATGGGGAGCAGCAAATCCCTGAGTGGTTTATCGAGGGGCGAACCGTGCTTCTCCCTAAAACTGGAGATTTGTCCAATCCGAAGAATTACAGGCCAATTACCTGCCTGAATGCATGTTACAAGTTGTTCACACGCATCTTGTACATGCGAGTACTCCTAGTAGTTGACCCGGTTTACCAGCGGATTTTTGAGCAGCGTGGGTCGAAGAGAGGTGTCGCTGGCTGCAAGGAGAACCTGTTGATAGATAGAGCTATCACACAGGACTCCGTGCAGTACAAGCGGAATCTTTCTGTGGCCTGGATCGATTACCGAAAGGCATTTGACACAACGTCACATGAGTTACTCGTGTACTTGCTCAAGTGTCTTTCGGTACCCGATTCTATAGTGAGATGCATAGAACAACTGATGCTGGTCTGGAAGACCCGCTTTACCATAACATCAGGTGAAGCGAGAGTCCAAACAGAGCCAGTCATCATAAGGAGAGGAGTATTTCAAGGGGACTCCCTCAGCCCTCTCCTATTCTGCATCTCACTTCTGCCACTATCCGTTGAGCTCAGGAAAACCAGGGGATACAACTGCGGCCCACCCAGTTACCGGAGGCATAAGGTCACCCACTTATTCTATGTGGATGACCTCAAACTTTATGCCTCTGGTGAGAGGGATATGGACCAATCCCTCAGGGTGGTGCAGGAGTACACGCAGGCAATTGGAATGGAATTCGGGATGGACAAATGTGCACTGGTTCATCTCAAGAGAGGACGATGCGAGAACTACGACAAGGACGCGCAGCTCGTGGACGGAAGCATCCTACGCCACCTGGATGCCGGAGAGACGTACACCTACCTGGGTGTAGAGGAAACTCACATCCAGGAGGCACAACGGGTAAAAGACGCTCTCCGCAGCAAGTATCGGCAGCGGCTCCGACAGATCTGGTCGTCAGAACTGTCGGGGAAGAACAAAGTCGCTGCGACTAACATGCTTGCTGTTCCGATCCTACTTTACTCATTTGGAGTGATAAAGTGGACTCAAGTCGAGCTGCGACAACTTGACGTAAGTACTCGCAAGATGATGCATCTCCATAGGAGTCTGCATCCAAATTCGTCCGTTCCACGGTTATACATACCTAGAGACCAGGGTGGCCGTGGACTCTTGAGCTTGGAGTATCTCCATAACAGAATGGTTCTGGATGGCGCCTGCAAAGTCATCAGGAGTTCGGACCCCCTTCTGCAAATGGTTAAAACCCATGAAGATGCAGGAGTAGGAGCTTTTCTTTTTAGGGCAGCACGTCGAG